CATTGCAAACAGCTGGCAATCAACGATGGACCAGGAGTCAGTTTGCAAGAAATAAAACACAATATCCCTCCTTGTATTCCATTAGATCCAAGATGAAGGGCATGACCCCTGACCTGCGAGGTCGGAAGCGGAGAAGTGGTGTGTTCCATGTCATGTCTCCATCATGTTTCCAGGAAGACTCAAATGTCAACGCCATGCCCAGCAATCTCTTGATTCATGCAGCCAGCGCATGACCTCCTGGCGTCTTTCCGCGCGACGCCCTCCACAGTTCCGTAAAACAACGCTCATCCTGTTCTGGAGCCCCGGCCCTGTCATTTCATCCCTTCAGGATCGCGCAGTGGGGCATGGAGCAATTTGACGAGGTATTCCATTACCCTGGAGTTGTTGCAACGTCAGGAATCTTCCTCCGTACCATGTCGCACGAGACTATAGAGTGTTTGTTGAGGCTCTCTCGAAGGCCCTCATGTACGCTTGCTTCCAAGCTTGGGAAAAATGTGGCGGCACGCCTCTCGCAATTGCCTTGTGAGAGGCTTGCCAGGACTGGTCCCCAGTCCCTGAAAGCTTATGCGGCGCCACAATATTTCGAACATCACGCAACCTTTACTTTGACTGCGGCGCAGCTACTGCACTATTCGCTGCGCCTGTGGGAAATTGTTTTCCGACTGACCTCGGGGTGTGTTGGATCGAAATCAAGCTGGCCTTGTTGGCCAGCATCATCAGCATCGGTGGGGGTCCGTTTCTCGACTTTGGGTGACCTTTGGGTCTAGTTTTGAAAACGTTGCGTGCCCATGATGTTTCTGGAGGTCCTGGAGTCTAAAATGCATCTGAGCATGGGGGAAGGAAACCTTTGGAGCGCGTGTTAATTTCAGGCTGCTTGCGCCTGGGGGCCCCTGTGAGAAATTTAGGTCCGATGATGTGGGACAATCCCACGAAATCCCCCTTTGTAGCAAAGGCTGCGGCTACATCGTTGGGGCCAGGAAAACGCAGCACGGCTACCCAACCCCGCCCCTGCATGGTACCCCCTTCGACTCTGCCAGCGCGCTCTGAACCATTCATTTTGGTGGGACGACGCGGAAGCTGACCTACGCCAGGCGCGAGCTTCACGGTTTGCCCCGAAAAACATCATGGGCACACAACGTTTTCAAAATTAGCCGCGAGGCCCCATTTCAGCTGGAGCTGAGAAAAGCGTAGATTTCCGTTGGAATAAGGGCCGTTTCTCCTTTTTCATCTGCTAGTCTGCTTGCACGCCCTGAAGTTGACTTACGGCGCACGCGCGCGCACGGAGCGCGACTATAGCGTGGGATAACGGGGGAAACCTGCACTCTATCTGCTTTCTGGCGTTGCCAGCCGTTGGCATCAGCCCCTAAATTTTGGGGCGAGTTGCAAAGCGTCGGCGACGCTCTGCAAGCATTCGTGCATGTCGCGCCCCAGCTGGCCCTCTCAGGGTCGCCATCTTCGTAGTTGTCATCTGTTTTGGACTCTATGGGGTCGTCGCGTGTCAAGAGTGTCTACGGTTGCAAGGACGGGGCCACTACGGGTGTCTTCATCACGTTTCATAGTGTCAACAATCACCAGAATACACCCTCGTGCGTTCACGGCGTGTCAAACATGTCTGCGGTGAGAGGGATGGGGCCCCTGACTGTCGCCGCTTTTGGATCCTCACGTTTTCCAAGCTTGTCAAACGTGTCAACAATCTACTGGGGGTCCACATCCTCGTAACCGCCATCGCATTTTGTCCCTCTGTTGTTCGTCGCGTGCAAAAAGCGTCAACAATCACAGAGACGCGGCCGCTGGGGCGCACAATCCTCATATCTGCCGCCGCGGCGAGGAAAGCGGAGTGGAAAGAGGCAGATCATGGTAGATTTAGGGCGCGTCCAAGACGTTCGCCGCAGGTCTTGCAGTGTCGGAGGATGGGACCATGGCATGTTGGTACAAGGGCTGAAAAGTAAGACGCATGCTTCGTGCAAAATAATCAAAAATCATGACAGCCGTATTGCAGTGAATTTGCATGTCACGCAAGAAGTTGTATAGAAGTAGAGCTCTTGAGCAGGCAAGATGCGAAATATCATGTGCACGTCAAATACGTACACCGTCCGCGTCTTCCAATCGGGCCTGTTTTTCCAAAGTTGGAAGAAGTCGTGCTACGTGGTCTGCTTCCAAAGAGTTCCGAGATGGTGGGTCCAAACGTTTATCATTTGTAGATATTTGTAGATGAGGAAGCCTTGAAAGAAACAAAATTAAACAAATCGACTGCAGGGCTAGCTGCGCTCTTCAATTTCTGCTCAATTCGCTCACCTTCCCCCCGCGCATGCAACAGAATTGCATTGCACGTATCGGAGGGAATACGCCGGTCTTAAGGGCCACCAGCATATTATGTGTAATGCAGAAACATGGTTGGGGAAGCGCATAACTTCTGCACCCCCTCTGCAAAGGTCACGTTCAACACGTCCGTCTCATGGCCTGGGGGTGTGAGCCACCTAGCCCCTGCGGTTAGGCGCTCATGGGTCACCGGCGCGTTTTTGTTCTGATTTTGCTTTGCGCAGCCATGCTCGCGAGTGGTCCGAACTCTTATGCCGCGGACGGAACACGTTCTAGATGCATACATGAGGAAGGCTATGGGACCTGTTTTTTTTGCAGTCACGCTGGTGACTGGTCCGAGCTTTTGACCTGATGCGAGCATGGTCTCGCGGCTCAGAGCTATTGCAGCTGATAACCTGTACATGCGGAAGCATGGTAGATTGCACGAGTCGGCTGCAGCGCCATGCTCTTCAATTTGTGCTCATCTCACCCCTGTGCATGCAACAGGATTGCTTTGCACATATAGGAGGGAGCGCGCCGGTCTTAAGAGCGACCGGCATATGTGTAGTGCAGAAACATGATTCTGACAACAGAACTTCTGAACTATGGGATGTACTGCTGAAGAGTTCCGCAATGTTGATATTAGGGTCTGGTTTTGCAGAGTTGGAAGACGTTGTGTTATGGGTCTGGATCTGAAGAGTTCTGAGATGTTGGGTGTGGATTCTGTGTTTTTGCCCCCTCTCTTTCTACTGCTTATCAGTATCCACCCCACCCCACCAACTCCTCAGCAAAGCTTGTGAACAATAGCGGTTCCGGCAAACGTTAGGGACGCAACCTGGATTTGAGTGTGGAAAATGGAGAACGGAGAGTGTAGTGAGGAGAGTAGAGCGTGGAGAGTGAAGAGGGAAGTAGAGTGGAAAGGGGACTAGACGACCGCTACTACTACTGATACTAGAGCAGTTGCAGCAGGCGGCAGCAGTGGCAGCAGCCGCGTGCAATCTTGCTGCAACCAAGCTTCCAGTATCGGATTTCCGATCTGCTTGATCTTCTGGCTCACATCAACGCTGGCTTTGCCTGAGAAAGCAACGGACACGGATAAAGCGGGGAACAAGCTGAGAGCAGGCCTGTCTGAATGGCGGGAGGTTCTTCCTCCACCGTGGGCGTTGCCATTGCAATATTAAAGATGTGACATGCAACAGGCAGCGTTGTCTAAATTGATAGAATTGCAATCTCTTCTGGGTAAGAACCCTGCCATGTTTCCCTGGCACGATGTATTTGCCATGTTTTGTCGTCTGCTCTCCTCTATCAACCACTGAAGTCTTCGCCAGTGACTCGAATCTGGTCATGCGCAGTGCAGCCGTCAGCTATCCTTTCGCACCTAAACGTGCGAATGCCGCCTTTGCACAAATTTTGACATGGCATCTTCCTGATACCGGCTCATATGGCTCATCAACACGAGCGCTGCATGTAGAGGAGAGAAATGACTAGCTTGCCGCTTGCGTTGTCCACAATTGTCGTTCCATGGGCACTGAAGGTGAACGTAGAATCCATCGAGTTCAATCAGATCTTCCATAGGAGGACCAAAAGAAATGATCTAGAATATCTGGAGGGAGCCTGGCTTGTAAACCGTCTTGGCTTCCAAAATGCCAAGCTTGCACGTTGCCTTCAAAAAGCTCAGACCACGCGAGCTTAGTACAAGGTGGCCGGTAAGAAGTAGCTGGGAAGATCGTCTGAGACTTTGACACGTTTGCTTGGGCAGTACGTGGTGCTGCGTGCGCTCACTGCTTGCTGACACTTTGGGAAGCTGTCAACCTACGCTCTGTTCACTGCTGACGCTCCAGTGTGGCAAGCGAACAGCCCTCAACTACCCACCGTTCAAAAGTACGGGCAGTGAGTGAAGTCCCTGAACCTCATCAAAATGACTCATCCAAAGCCCTACAAATAAACCATCCAGGTTCGTCTCGCAACTATATCCACACCTGGGGTAGGAGTCTTAGCTGAAGATTCGGTGCCCTAGCTTCATGCTTAAAATGTAGTGGTCTGGAGTTGGCAATGAATTTCCAAAGTTTGAGATTTGTGAGATGGAGCTGAACAGACCACCACAAAGCTTTCATAAAGTGGGGCTCATCCTCTATGCCCTTATGATGTGCAGCTGCCCTGATCTCTCTTGCAGTATCTTGCAGTGATCTTGCTAATGGATTGCTACAATGCTTGGATGCTTACAATGCTCACAAGGCTGCACATGCGCCAGACGCTTTACTCAAAGGCAAGCTCAGAATCTTCGGGAATGGCATGTTCTCAAGGTCTGGCTGTGGCTGTATCCACAACGACAGGGGCATGTCAAAATGTTCTTGCCTTGACTAACTACAAACCGCTTACCTTGCAATAGTCTATGCAAACAGTTCAACAGCACCATGTCTTTGCATCGAAGGCGGGCACAGGTAATGGCAGCGGCTAGCGTCCTTAGGCACCACGGGGCTACAACGCGGTGCTGCCATGTGCCGTCACATCTGAAATGCTCGCAACACATGTAACATCTTCTGAGGTTGCCCCTTGTCAGTTGGCCCCTTGTAGCAAAAACTTCCTTCGCAACTCTGCCCGACGACTCTCGCCGACGTCAAGGCCGATACTCGCAAAGAACTGTAGCTCAGCACTTCCTTTCGTGCTCGCTGCCAATGCTTGCTTCAACGCAGCATGGCAGATTAACAGCCGTGTGCATTCTTAAAAAGCAGAAATACTTCAAGAATTTTCGCAATTCCTGTGTGCCCTTTGTAAATGGCACGAGCCAGAGGTGTAGCACTGTCGCTTGTGCGTGCTAGGTTGGCATCTGCATTGACAGCGAGAAGCAAACGCAACACTTGCTTGTGGCCGTTTTGAGCAGCAAAAATCATTGGAGTTGCTCCATCGCCCCAACGAGCAACATTCATCATGGCACCAGCTTCCAAAAGCTGCCGCGTGACGTTCAAGTGCCCATGCTCGCAAGCAACAGTGAGAGGTACTGCGCCGTCAGTTGTCCGGGCCTTGTTCACGTCAGCACCGTACTCGATTAAAAAGGCCACAACATGAGAAAAACCATGATACGAAGCCGCGAGGATTGGTGTTGCTCCATCTGAGCGTCGAGCGCCATCAACGTCAGCAAGATACTCAAGCAGGACATGGAGTTGAAGGGGCCGATCAAGCTCAGCTGCAATATACAACGGCGTTGCCGCGGGTTCTGAACCTTCCTTCTCAATCTCCGCACGACCAAGAAGCACCAAGCGTGTGACATCACGAACATCAGAGCAAATCGCCGCCATCAAAACGCTGGTGCCATCATCACTGCGCTCCGCACAAACATTTGCAGCTGCTTCAAGCAACACCCGTACCATTTCTGGATGCCCGCAGCTGGCGGCCACAAACAATGGCGTTGCACCGTCTTTGCTTCGACGTGAGTCAACCTCTGCCCGTGCTTCTAGCAAGCTACGCACTTCCGGAACACGACTGTTTGCAACAGCAACAAAGAAAGGGGTATATCCATCAGATGCACGAGTAGCTGCTATATCCGCACGCACGTCTAGCAAGAGACGTAATATATCCGGGCTTTGAGAAAGAATCGCGCAATGCAACGCAGAAGCGCCGTCAGAGCGCTTTTCGTTCTTGTCTGCTCCATTTTGGAGTAAGAAGCGCACTATGGCCTTGTTCCCCTCCAGAATGGCAGCGATGAGCGGGGTGGCTCCGTCACAGGTTCGTGATCTGTGCACCTCGGCTCTTGCCTCCAGCAGCACGCGAGCCACTGGCAAGTGACCGCAACTGGCGGCCACGAAAAGCGGAGACTCACCACAAGTTGCTTCATTCAGACTGGCCCGAGCTTGGATCAGCATCTTTACTATCTTGACGTGTCCTTGGCTGGCAGCCGCGTCCATCGCTGCGATGCAGATTTCAGACATGTTCTGGCCTGCCTTATCTGCGGAAGCCAGAAGCACCTTGAGAACCTGCACATGGTTCAAAGAGGCTGACACACACAGTGGCGTGGAGCCATCGGATGACCGTTCTGTACCTAGATCTGCCCTTGCCAAGGTCAGGGTGCGAACCACATCCACAAAGCCGTGGTATGCGGCGACACAGATTGGTGTGGAACCGTCCTCGCTGAAGGCTCTGTTGACATCAGCCCTGGCCTCAAGCAGGACACGGACCAGTGTTGCGTGCCCTCGGCAGGCAGCTTCCAGCAGAGGTGTTCGCCCATCTGTGCTGTTTGGTGTGTTCAGGCTAGCCTTTGCTTGTAGCAGCGCCTGAACTACATCGAGCCTGCCGGTGTAAGCGGCCCCAATCAAGGGGGTTACGCCCTTGGGATTTTCGGATTCTACATTTGCATGCTCTTCCAGCAAGATGCGAACGATCTCGATCTGTTCCAGACGTGCAGCTATTGGCAATGGAGCTCGATCAGCTTCATCAAGGTCTGCCCGGGCCTGTAGCAGCAGTTTGACAACCTTTGGGTTGCCCAAACGAGTCGCATCGTGCATTGCGCTTGCGCCAAACTCAGACACCTTCTGGCCATCACGGGCTGCAAGGGCCAGGAGCATTTTCACAATTGCCAGATGGTTTAACGAGGCAGCCAGAGACAGGGGCGTAGATCCGTCAGAAGTTCGGGCTGCAGTGACATCCGCCCTCCACTTTATCAAGATTCGGACTATATTGGAGAAGCCATGGTAGGCAGCCACACACGCTGGCGTGGAGCCATCCTGTGTGAAGGCGTTGTCAGGGTTCGCCCTGGCCTCGAGCAGAATGCGCACCAGTAAATAATGACCCCGGCTGGAGGCTTCCAGAAGAGCAGTCCGTCCATCTCTGCTGTCTGCAAAGTCTACATCGGCTCTCCACTGCAACAACGCACGAACTGCCTCCGTCCGCCCGTGATTCACCGCAGCAAGCAAGGGTGTTGCAAACGTCTCGTTCTCTGCATCGACGGTTGCGCGTGCTTCAATCAGGAGGTGCATCATGTCGATGTGGTCCATCTGTGCCGCCACGTGAAGAGGGCAGCGGCCATCCCGCAGACTCACACTGTTGCTGTCCGCATCGGCTTCAATCAGCAAACCTTCATTCTGCCAGACTCTGCCAGCTTTTATACATCATGAGAAACTCGAAGCGCACTAAGACTGCCTACCCCACCTACCCAAAGCTGCTTTTGTAACGGGTGGCGCGCACAGCGAAGGCTATTGCAGGCTGCAGCATGCCACAAGGCCGTCTCGCCAGATTCCAGGGTTACATCCTGAATTTTTTGTAAAGTGCTTAACAAAAAAAACGCCACAACATCTAAGACAGACCAAAGTAAGCCTGCACGAGGCATCTTTGGCAAAGGCTCAGGGTCAAGCGGTCGCTGCAGGAGGCGCTCCACAGCCCATGCTTGGTCTTCAGTCACAGCATCCAGCAAGCAGCGACGTTCGTTGTCGTCAGCGGGAAAAAATGTTAGCACCACGAGAACCAAGCTTGTGGGTATCTCGACAACTGCATCATCCTCTAGGACAATACCTTTGCAGAGCAACTTCTGGCGAAACCTGGGCTGGCTGATGATGCCTGACAGGTGCTCCTTCAGCGACTTCACCGAGCTATCAGAGTTTTCAGTGATTTGCGTAAACTCATCCGCAGAGAGCTCCACAAGAGAGTGCCCGCTGAACATTGTCACCGTCAGTGCCATCTTTGCAAAAAGGCACTAAGGCTAGGTCAAATGCAGACTTGGAAACGATCGCTGCAGGCTGTGAGTTAGTACAATAAATCAAACAAAGACTTGGAAAAGATCACTGAAGGCTGTGAACAGCAGAATGCCTCAATGCTGCCTACAATGTCGTCAATCTCTCACTGGAGCATGAAACTGCATCTTGAAGCCCCAAAACGCAGCTGCATGCAGGAGATGAAAATCAAGCAACATTCGCACATCGCCAGAAAATCCGGACAAGAACTTGACAGACCTCAAAACGCACATGTTGCGGCTCCCTGGATCAGTCTCTGCTGCTGCTTGTTTTGAAGTGTCGAAGAGGCAACGACAACACAACGATCCTGGTCTATTAGCTGCTTGGGGCATGAACATGTCGCATTTTCCGTCGAATCCGTTGAAACTTTGGACCTCCTGGGGTGCGATCACGCAAAAGCTGAGCAGGATGTCGACAAATCCAGCAAATCCACCTAGCAATCTACAGCACTTGAAGAGGCCACCACCAGATGACCTAATGTGCTTGCACCTGCCGCCAGGCAACCCAACCGTAGTGGTCTGCTTGCCTGTCCTCAAGTCTTGCTGGCTACAACTGGCTACAATATGGCTAGCACGTGATGCTGTGGGCCAACGTCTGGAGCAGTGCACACCTGTGACAAATTGTGACAAGTGGAGCAGCGAAAGCTTGAGAAGCTAGACGCGGTGCCGCAAACGTTGGAGACATGGGAGCTTCAGGATGTTTTACTTGGCAACGAGCTGCAAAACATCACTGGCTTGTCCACACTACGGTCCATGCGCTCAGTCGGTTTTCCTGGACAGACATCACTCTTCAGCGTTCATGAGATTCCGTAGGATTGTGCACTCTTGAATCACAAGACTGGAAAGCAGGCATCACCAGAATGCAAGTTGCATCCTTCGGAAGGAGCAGCCCTCGGTCAGTCGCGCGAGGCCACCCGTCGGCTGACAAAGCATCACCTGAGAACTTCTGAGATCTGCATAGCCCACAACACAGCGCTGAAGTCAAACTGGGTTCTGACGTTGCAGTTGCCGCAAAGGACAACGGTCTGCGCATGGCTGAAGACGGTGGTGATCTGGCAATTCCACAACTTGCATGGCTGCCGCAAGGCATGCTAAACGTCAGTGCTAGTTTGACAGCGTCTTAAATGTATGCCTCTATGCCGATAAGGAGGAGCACAGGTATACGTTCTGAAGCCGCAGGGGTAGCATTCGTGGCATCTCTGCTGGATTACCGGATTTCCTGTTGAGAGCTGGTTTGCAAACAAGTCCCACGCCTGGAGGCAGCCAGGGCATTTCACGTCCATGAAGAAGCCTAATGGCTACAGCTACAGGTGGGATCAAAGGCTGTTAGGTTAGGTGCGCATAGTTCAATATATACCGGTTTGGGGGCAGAAGCTTCATCCAGTGCTGAACGATGTTGAAATCAAATGCCGACGAGGGGCTGTTGGGAGACTGGATCATGCGCTTCAGCTTGTGCTTTGACTGGCAGCAGCTCAAGGTCTCGAACGCGTTAGTTTGCTTCCCTGCTTATCCCAACCGCAAAGGGCACAAGAAGATGCCGGGCTACATCTGTTGGCATGTTCAACATGGATGCCTTCTCCTCCTTCAGATCCGGGTTCAGCAGGTCGATGTCCATGTTGCCAAGCGAAGCCTCTGTCAGGAACCTTGGATTCTGAGCTTGAAGCCTTCTGATTGCTTGTGGTGCAGTGACGAGAAACCCCGAGAAGACGACGACAACGACGACGACAACGAAGGACGACAACGGCGGCGGCGGCAGCTGTGTTGCTTTCGAGCTGCCAGAGCAAACTTCGCAGAACCGCTTTGCAGGAAGCCGAGCCAAAATCAAAAAGCAGACACAGATTCTGGCTTCATTTGAGGCAACTCCAGTTCAGAACTGCGAGGGGACTGGTATGAGGAAACCCAAAAAAACCGCTCAAGTCAAGCATATGGTTGCAGTGGTCTTCAAACTTACTTTCTCTATTATGTGTCATTCCAACAGGATGCCTTGCCATACTCAACTCTGTGTTTCGCATGGCTGCTGCTGAGAATGTCTCAGAGTGCAGTATTGAAGTTTGCCGAGGCGTGCTTTGATGACTTTCGTCTTGTGTAACAATCTCCAAAGTCCCAACTCCAGCCCCTCAGCTAAGTACACACCGAGACTCAAGCCACAAAACCCAAACTTGGAAAATGCATTCCTGCAAAAGGAAGCTGCGAATTTCACAAAACCCTTCACACCATGCATCCTTCATCAGACCCTTGGTACATCTCCAGTGCCGTGCGACAAGCTTTGCCTTCCGCAGCTTTGGATGGTTAACAATGCTACCACACCACAGCTTTTCGGAGCGATGCTATACAGACCACTTGCGTAAATGGAGCTGCGCACTTCAAATCGAACCCTTGATTGAATTTCCACCGCGTGCTTCCAATCTATTTCGACTACATTCGAGTTTGATGCGTTAGGAGAACCGCAAGACCGGCGTGTCTTTTGCGATATGGCATCATTGCTCTCCAGTGTCCGGCTCAGGCCGCAGGCCCTGCGCAGGTGTGCATCTCAGCTTGGTTGCACGGATCTGCTCTGCTTCTTATCAGTGCAGGAGCACTTGCTTCAAGCATACATTCAACAAGCAACAAGCTTGCAGGTCCAGACTCGCATGGCGGGCTTCGGCAACCAACCCGTAGGTGAACTCGTGGACATGCCTGCCTCAAATCACGAATGCAAGCTTCGCTGCCTCGTTGGCGGAGAAACCTGGCGGCAGCAAGCGTGAGAAGAGCAGGGCTGGACCTTGTAAAGAAGCTTCCAGGTCATTCCATGTACAGCAACCAAGTCAAAAGGCCAGGGTGGAACCTGCTTGGAGTGCAAGACGGGTCCGTCCAAACGTTGGGCTACAAGAATCCAACCCTGGCTCTGAGGCCAGGGGCTCAGGAGCCACCTCGGCCAAGATGTTGAAACGCTGGCTCCCGGGCTGGTCTGGGACCAGCTGCATTTGTCCTTCTCCTAACCTGATTTGGGGGGGGGGGGGGGGGNNAAATGTCTATTCTCCTGACCTGTTTGGGCATCCCAGCACACACAAGCAATCAATCCAGGCTCATCTGTCAAAGTAACGAGAAGCAATAGGAATATGTTTGTTGGCACTTTTCTGAATCACGTCTTGTTGTTCCTACATTCCTGTTCTATCCTGATCTCATTCGAACGAGGTCAGTGACGGCAAGCTGGTTGCCGAATCCAGCCTTGCATTTCGTGTCGCAATGAACTCACCCACAGCTTCTGGGTCCTGATCAAACGATTAAAAACCACGATTAAGTACGTTCATCATGTTCTGTCAACACTGCTTTTCGTCAAAAGGCCCGCTCCTGCAGAAGCCCTTCACCTCCTTGGTTGAAACTCGCTAATGCTGCCGAAACCTCCTGCGAAAAATGGCCAGGATACGATGACAGAGTACAGAAGTTCGGGGATGAAGAAGTAGGCAGTGCCGATGGCGGTGCATTGCAGTGGCAGTGGCCATGGCGGTGGCAATGGCGGTTGCGGTGGCAGCGGCGGCGGCGGTAGCAGTGCTGGTCATTGCGGTCATTGTAATGTAATGGTCATCTTGATCGTCGTGGTCGTCGCAATCGCAGTCGTGCAATCTTCTTCGTCGTCGCGATCGCAGTCGCAGTCGCAGCTCGCAGTCGCAGCTCGCAGTCGCGATCGCCGTCGTCTTCATTATTTTCGTAGTTGTGTTCATCACCCTCATGGAGCGACCACGACGTCGCTGGATCTCGGCGGTTGTGGTTGTGTTATGGTCGTGGCGGTGCTCATTGTGCTGGCTCGTCGATGTGGTCGTGGTCGTGGCCATTCTCATCGTCATCATCACCATTCACCATTCTCGTCGTGGCAGTACTAATCGTCATAGTAGTCTGTTTTCAATCGTCATAGGAATTGTCGAAGTAGTCGTTGTGGTAATCACTGTGGCAGTCGTCAAAGTAGTAGTAGTCGTAGTCGTAGTNNAGTAGTAGTAGTAGTAATAGTAGTCGTACTAGTAGTAGTAGTAGTAGTAGTAGCAATCGTAGACGTAGTCGTAGCAGTAGTACTAGTACTAGTACTAGTAGTAGTAGTAGTAGTAGTAGTAGAAGTAGAAGTAGAAGTAGAAGTAGAAGTAGGAGAAGTGGCGGGAGAAGTAGTAGTAGTAGTAGTAGTAGTAGTAGTAGTAGACGTCGTCGTCGTCGGAAGAGGACGCGGAGGAAGAGGATAATCCTAATAGTAATCATTTTCACAGCAACAAGAAGAATGCAGCGATAAGAAAGAGAGTAGGTGTAAAATGTAAAAGGACCAAGAACTACAACTAGAATTTCTGCTACTGCTACTTATCAATAAGTTCATCCGTTTGTTTCTCCCCAACTGCTGTGAACAGGCTGTACGCAGAGAGCATTCAGCGGTAAACAGTATACCTTGGTAGTTTGCCGACAGACAGCTGGAAACTGACTGGCTCAAACTGTTCTGGCAACAAGCGAGTAGATTGATTTCATGGAATATTCAAGTATTCCTTGCGATAGTTAGGTAGACACAACGATGCAGGTTGGAGCGCGTCCAGCGAGCCCAAGGCGAAATTTCAAGATTGAACACGTTCAAGATGCATCCTTCAGACGAATCCTTTGAAAACCTCCAAGATTCTTCGATGGTACATGCAATAGAAGCCCAAGGATGTATTTGAGCCTTCTGTAACCAGAGAAAGCGAGTCCTCCTCTCGAAGCAGATGAAACGCAGGGCATGGAGCGCGGCCCACAAAATTTGCGCAATCCGCAGCATCCTCACGGTGAGGAACAGTATGACAGCGGCAAACTGCAAGTCTGTAAGCCTGCAGAAAAAGCCACCCGACGTTTGTTTGCTCAGCACTTGGGACACGGCAGAACCATTGAAGCGAAAATCGGGGTGAAAGTTGGCTATCTGAACCTGGAGTATGTCGGGCAGATTCATCGTTCAGCAGGAAGACACCCAAAGAATCTCAGCATGAGTAGCGTTACTTGAGTTCAAAGAAGAAATCAGTGTCTCGTCTGGTTGCAGTACGTCAATTCCACGCAGGGCTCAGGCCTTGCCGATCAGGTCGCACTCAGAAAAGGCTTCTTCAACCCAACTGCAGAGGTCCAAGTAGACCTTCCAGAAGAAGGCAAGCTGCTGCCAGCTGACATGGCTCACGTGGAATGCGTATTGCAGGCACTATCCTCAACCATTCTCCGCCAGAGCCTTTTGTAATGCAGGACCAGTCTCGGATGGCCTCGAAATCACGAAGCTTGTCACACCTGGCAAAGACTATTTTGCATGTTTTGCAGCAGATGTGATCAACTGCTCAGCTCCATACAGGTCAAGACGTCAAGTTAACATGACTTAAAGTTTCTCCCATTTTTGTGAAAGGGAAGCCTTGGTGCCACCAGCAGTGTCGTGGCACTCTCGCCTTGCGGTGGCTGCTGCAGCGCCTGAAAAAAGGATGGCTGCATGAGAAATAGTTCATGATGCTAAGTCCGGGCTCTCGGCCAGCAACTGCGCATGTGTCAGCAGTGCCGCAGCAACATCTTCCTAATGTTCATGAGTTTTGCGGTCAAACTTATAAGCAGGAATTCTGGAGGAAAATGAGCACAACTATATCTGAGACTCCCATTGCATGCCTCTACTCCCAAAACAGGAGAAAGCACACTGCAACTACATCAGCATGAGTGTACAGGCCGGAGCCAATCTAAGAATGAGTTGCGAAGCCCTCATGTTGCAAACGCTGCTTCTGGCCACTAAGCATGAGTGTCCTCCTCGGCTTCTGCCAGGGATACCACAGCCAAGCTCCGTGTCCTGCACGTACCCAAGGTATCCGAAGTTGTGGATCCCGCACTGGATCCCGCTCCTCCTCTTCTTCTTCTTCGTCTACAAGCTGCGTGCGTCCCGGAAGGGGCACACTCAGGTTACACCCCATAGCGCTTCCCTGAACAGATGTACACGGAACAAACAAAGTCGAGGAAGGGTTGGCGAATGACCAACCTTTGTAGGTTTTCTTCTTTTTCTTCTTCGTGTGCTTCCTCCTCCCCACGCATCCTTCGTTGCGGTCATTCGCCCCGACATCTCGATACGAGGGAATAACAAGGTTTCCGAGCTTTTTGTACCTCCGGAATATCGTTGGAGAAATGGAAGGCCTGATAACGGCCAAACAAAGCCATGCTTGGACCGTCAAGGGGAAGTGCATCTTTGCCACACAGTCCATACATTGAAGCTCCAGCCATTATTGATCCCAAAAAAAGCACTGCATTCTTGATTTTGCCTGAAGGTAGAGAGATGATAAGTCAGCATCACCTCTTCTTTTTCTCACAGCTTGGCACTTTTCCGAAGCGAGGAGCAATGCTCCGAGCTGGGTCAGCATCACCTTTCTTTCTTTCTTTCGTTCGGGCTATGGAGGAGAGCTGGTGCTCCCCTCCGGGCGTCAATGCCCAGCCCGTGTTGGGCTGTTTGGTTGGATTTCACCCCTGACGTTGTGAGGTTGCTTGGGTTAACTAGCTACCGTACAGTAATCTACACATGGGGGTACACTGTTCAACTTCACAACTAATCAGCTGCTGCCTCAGGAGGGAGTGTCAAAAACATGCAAGGTTGCCTGGATCCCACACATGTTGATTACGTGTTAC